TTTTCAAAATACATTTTTAAATATTAACTCATGTTAAATATTAACTACCCCGGGTTTTTTATTTAAATACATGTTATAATATTTTAATAAACTGTTTTATTTAACTAAACTTTTTTAATATTAACTACCCCTGTTAAAATATTAACACACCCGAAAAATATTAAAAAAAACTGTTTTTTCAAAATACACTGTTTTAAAAATCAACTTACACTGTTATAAAAAATCAAAATACACGTTATAATATCCCAAATACAAGTTAAAATAACAACTTTTTAAATGTTTAAATTAACTACACTGTTAAAAATATTAATACACTGTTATAATACAACTACATGTTATAAAATCAACTACAAATGTTTTAAAATTAACTACAATGTTAAAATAATAACTACACTGTTATAATTTTTAACTCACTGTTTTAATATTAAAATTTCACTGTTTAATATTAATAACTGTTTTTTCAACTACACTGTTAAAAATTCAAAAACCCTGTTATAATTTAAATACACTGTTATAAAAATTTAAATCCCCCCGTTTTTAAAATTAACTACACTGTTTTTTAATTTTTAAAAACACGTTTTATCAACTACACGTTTTTAATATCAACTACACTTTTTATAATATTTAACTACACTGTTATAATATTAATACACTGTTTAATATTAACTACACTTTTTTTTCAAAATACACTGTTTTAATATTAACACACTGTTATAATATTAAAATACACTGTTATAAAAATTTAAATTCACTGTTAAAAATTAATACATGTTTTATCAACTACACTTTAAAATATTTAACACACTGTTTTAATATTAACTACCTGTTAAAAATATTAACAAAACTGTTAAAAATCAACTACACTGTTATATTCAACTAAAACTGTTTTAATATTAAATACACTGTTATAAAATTAAAAATAACCCGTTATAATTTTTAACTACACTGTTATAATATCAATACAAATGGTTTTTAATATCAAATTCCCCTGTTATAATATCAACCACTGTTATAAAAATTAATACATGTTTTTAAAATTAACTCCCCTGTTTTTAATATTTAAAACATGTTTTAATATCAACTACACTGTTTAATTCAACTACAATGTTAAAATATCAACACACTGTTATAATTTTCAAACCCACACTGTTTTTAATATTAACTAAAACGTTATAATTTTTAACTACAAAATTTTATAAAATCAAAATACACTGTTTTTAATAAAAATAAATACCTGTTATAATATTAATACACTGTTATAATTCAAATTTCCCCTGTTTAAAATCAAATAATGTTAAATACAATACACTGTTTTTAATATCAACTACACGTTTTTAAAATCAACTACAAAAGTTTTAATATCAACTACCTGTTATAAAATTTAACTAACTGTTATAAAAATAAAAATACCGTTATTAAAATTTCCCACAAATGTTAAAAATATCAACTAACTGTTATAATATCCCAATACACTGGGTTTTAAATTTAAAATACACTGTTTTTTTTCAAATACACTGTTATAATTTTCAACTACACTGTTTTTAATATAATAACAAAACTGTTTTTTAATAAAAACATATAAATTTCCGACAGGTTTGTTAGGGAAGACCCCATATGCAACAGTTTAAATATCTTTATTTCGAAACGTTTCCCCCTAACGTAGGTTCTTTAGTCGAATACAGAAAAGTTTTGAAAAGACTTGAAGGCGATTTAATCCCCCCCACACCCTTTAAGTTTTTAGGTGGGCAGTTCCTCATTTTTGGGGAAGAGTTTTTTCAAAAACCCGAAACAATATGGAGTTGAAGTGAAAAGGAGGAGCCTTAATACCTCCAGGGGGTGAGGGTGTAGGCCACAGGGAGGGGGGGGGAAAAAATGTAGTCCCTTTGGGGGGCACTTTCCCCCTCAAATCCCCCCATTTCAAATAGTAGAAGTTTTCCAAGTTTTTTTTGTTCGTACCAAGATAAATTGTGTTTTCGGTCTGACAGATGAAATTAGAATGTTATAAAAACCGAAAAGGGTTTTTAGGTAAGACACATGCAAAAAAGGGTTTGGGTTTGAGAGGGCCTGCCTTCCCCCCGAACTACTTTTTTCCTTTTTTCTTATCTCTTATTCCCAAAGATATAATATGATTTTAAAATTTTTTTTTTAAAATTTTTTAAAATTTTTTTTTTTAAAATTTTAAAATTTTTTTTAAAATAAAGGGTTAAAAAAAAAGGGGTTTTTTTTGTTTAAATTTTTCATGTTTAAATTTCTTTTCCCTTTTTTAAAAAATTCCTTTAAAATTTTCCGTTTTTTCCTTTTGGGTTTTCACTTTTAAAAAAATTTTTTTTTTTTATTTAAATAAAGGGTTTTTATTGTATTATTTCTTTTTTTGGGGTTTTAATGTAAAGTTAAAAATTTTTATTTTGATTAAAAATTAAATTTTAATAAAAATGTTTTTTAAAAAAATTAAAAGGGTTTTGTAAAATTTGGGGAAAGTTGAAGTTCGGAAAAATGTTTTGGGGTTTGAAAGGTTTTAGAGAAGGGGGGAGTGAGTGGGGGAGGTTTTGGGGGGCATGGAGGGATGTATTGGAAGTGGGGGGTGAGGAGGGGCCTTAAGGGAGTGTGGCCAAGGGAGGGGGGGGGGGGAGAATGGGGGTTTTCGGGGAAAACCCCCCAAAAAGGGAAAGGCAAGTGTTTTGTTCCCAAGGTGGGTGGAGCGGTAGGTTTTTTAAAAACCGAAGGGGGGTTGGAAGAAAGAAAAGGGAAAGGGGTGGCCCCCGAACTACTTTTCCTTTTTCCTTTAAGATATAAGCCTTTATTGTATGGTTTTTAAAGTAAAAAAAAAAAGTTAACGGTATTTAGGGGTTTTTAAATTTAAAATAATTGGGTTTTTAAAAAAAAATAATAATTTTTATAAAAAATTTGGAAAAAAAGTTGTTGGTTTTAAATTTTAAATTTAAGGGGTAATGTGGGCGAGGGTTGTTTTTTGTTTTGAGTTTTCCATAGGTTTGGTGGTATTTGGTTTTAAAAAAAAGTGAATTTTGTTTGGATAAAAATTAAAATTAAAAATTAATAAAATAAAAATTTTGAAAAAAAAAAAAAAAAAAAAAAAAAAAAAATTAAAAAATTTTTTTAAAAAAAAAAAAAATTTTTTTTTTTTTAAAAAAAAAAAAAAAAAAAAAAAATTTTTTTTATTTTTTTTTAAAAAAAGGGGGGGGGGGGGGGGGGGGGGGGTTTTTTTTGGGGGGGGGGGGGGGGGGGGGGTTTTGGGGGGGGGTTTTTTTTTTGGGGGGGGGGGGGGGGGTTTTTTGGGGGGGTTTTTTTTTTTTTTTTTTTTTTTTTTTTTTTTTTTTTTTTTTTTTTTTTTTTTTTTTTTTTTTTTTTTTTTTTTTTTTTTTTTTTTTTTTTTTTTTTTTTTTTTTTTTTTTTTTTTTTTTTTTTTTTTTTTTTTTTTTTTTTTTTTTTTTTTTTTTTTTTATAGTAAAATATAAAAAAGGTAGACATTTTAGTTTATTATGGAAATAAAAGTTATAAATAATATAACAATTTATAATAATATTAAAAATAAAATGTTTAATTTAATAATAAAAATTAATATTTTAATAATTTAATAATTTTATAATTTTAATAATTATAATAATTAATAATGAATAATAATTTAATAATAATTTTTAATATAATAATATTTAATAATAAATAATTTTAATTTGTTATAATATTAATAATAATAATAATGTTAAAATAAAATGTTAAAATTTAATCAAGGTTTAAAAAACTGTTAAATTTTGAGCCAAAATATATAAAATCATCTTTAACTATTTTTCTGTGTTTAAACTACTTTATTATAAAAACAAATAGCTTGTTTTTATTAATACTCTGGTATTTTTTATAAACTGTGTGAAAAGTTGTACTGTAACTCATGGTGCTCATTCTGGACAAAAAAGTATTTTTAAATACTTTTTAAGCTTCTAGGAAGTGGAAGATCGTCTTGTGGAAACTATTCTTAACCCATCACTTAGTATGTCATTCTGTTAATAAATTTTTTTTAAGATTTTATAAATTCTAATGGAAAGTACAATACATTTTGCTCATCAATTAAAAAGTAATGTTTCATGTAACATCAAGACAAATATTTCACAGATTAGTTCATCTTTTATGAATGAAAAGTAAATGAGGTTCTGACTTAAGTTTAACAGAGAAGTTGTGCTCTACAATTGCTTGTCTCTCAGTTAATAAACCATTTTTATCAAAAGTGATACTACCACTTTACGTGGCTATCATAATCTACATGACATTTAACCATGATACAACAAAAGTCATATTTAACTAACACACGTCATGTAGAATTACACAGTTTCCGTATAATAAACATTCTAGAGATGTGAACAGCACGATAATACTTTGTAAAAAGACGTTCAAAAATTCTTTTTAAACTATAATGGAATAATGCCATGTACAATTATAGTCATTTTCCCTCTTGTAGGTTTCAAGATAATATTATGTGTTTTGAAAGCATCAGATGTGAGGGATCATAGGTTGTAAGAATTAAGCAGTAGTGTCATGTGTTGTGTACTCATTCTTCCTTGTGAAAAATTTAATGCTAGCTAAGAATTCCTCAAATGTGGTCTATAAATATCACATTTTGTCATGTAATCCTCATCAAATTTTATTTCAATAATACTATAATCTGAATTGTCATAGAAAATAGTATATAAGTTTTATATAATGTACAATGATGTATGTGTATTCCTGTGTTCATAATACAGTATTTATAATAATTTATTGTAGAATATACTTTTCAAATTTTCTGAAACATTCTCTATTTAAATTATTTTGTTTATATGATTATCAAAATAAAAACACATAAATAAAAATTAATTAGGATGAGCTTACAAAGGAATGCAAGAAATATAAATAGCTAAAACCATAACAGTAGCTACACCGTTTTTCTTGGTATGTAACTTCGTGTAAGAGTATACACCACCACAATGCATGTATAACATAAATATGTTTTGCAGGTGAGGACAGTAGTGTGTCTACACCTACCAGCCCAGGTGAGTGTGGTGGGACGGTGAATGGCAGCCAGGAGAGTGTTCGTAGTGGTGTGCGACCAAGACTACAGCGGCAGATGCTCCAGCTAGGAAGACTTTCCAGTTCCGGAAAGCAAGCATGGCCAAAATGCTGAGGTAGTTACCTAATTTAATAGATTAGACACAAGTGCAACTCTTGGGTATCTTTATTGATGAAACGTTTCGCCCACACAGTGGCTTCATCAGTCCATACAAAGGACTGATGAAGCCACTGTGTGGCGAAAACGTTTCCTCAATAAAGATACCCAAGAGTTGCACATGTGTCAATTATCAACATGTCGGTTCACTGAACCATTCAGCAACATACCTAATATAATTATTTTAAGTAAATATAATTGTAAACACAATTTATATATAGCACCACTTGCGTTTTGCTTAAATAGGCAACCGCTCTTCTTGTCGAATCAGGGAAGTGAAAATTTGTGTCTGCAGTAATTTCGCAAAAATCATTATGAACCCAGAAAAAAAATATTTCATTGTGTTTGTTTATTATTACTTTATTGCAAACTTACTTAAAATATATTTAGTTGAGTGGGCTAAATTAAATTACGCTTGTTATTAAGGTTAGGTAAGTTTCCTAAGGTCCTTTAGGTGCAAAATTATAAAGTTTTATATTAACAAATGAACAAAATATATCTTTAAATGTATAAGAGAAAATTTTATAAAGGACTTAATTTTAAATGAGTTCTTGCTAACTGACCAGTTTTAACTATTCGGCACGACATACCTGTAGTACACCTGGACAGGGTTTCGGGGGTCAACGACCCCTCTGCCCGGCCTCAGACCAGGCCTCGTGGTGGATCAGGGTCTGATCAACCAGGCTGTTATTGCTGGCCACTCGCAAACTGGCGTATGAACGACATCCTGGCTGGTCAGGTACTGACTTTAGGTGCCTGCCCAGCACCTTCTGGAAGACAGCCAGATGTCTATTGGTAATCTCCCTTATGAATGCTGGGAGGCAGTTGAACAGTCTTGAGCTCCTGACACTTATTGTGCTGTCTCTCAGTGTATTCGCGGCTCCTTTGCTTTTCATTGGGGGAATGTTGTATCTCCTGCCGAGTTTTTTGCTTTCACAGGGAGTGATTTTCGTGTGCAAACATGGTACCAATCCCTCTAGGATTTCCAAGTATATATTATCATGTTTCTTTCTCGCCTGCATTCCAGGGAATACAAATCAAGGGGCTTCAACTGTTCCCAGTAATTTAGTTGCCTGATCGTACTTGTTGTGCCGTGATGTTCTTTGTACACTCGCCAGGTCATCAATTTCGCCTGCCTTGAAGGAGGCAGTTAGTGTACAGCAGTATTCCAGCCTAGAGAGAACAAGCGATTTGAAGAGAATCATCAGCGGCTTGGCGTCCCTAGTTTTGAAGATTCTTATTATCCATTCATAATTTTTCTAGGCCCGCCAGATGCGGTAGACACATTGTTTGTCCTTTGAATGCGAGCTCCCTGGCATTATGTGCTCCCAGGTTCCTTCAACTATTAATATTTCGCACTATTGTGTGGTTAGAATTTGTAGTATACACCTGATACAGTTTTTAATTTCCTCAAGTTTTCCATATCTAGAATTGAATTCTCTATGTTGAACTTCAGTATTGTTATTCAGTGCCCATTTGAAGATTTGGTGATGTCCGCTGGAGTCTTGCGATGTCTTCGATGACGACACTGTCAGGGCAATCGTGTCATCCGCTAAGGAAGACACGGAATCTATGGCTTACATCTCTATGTCCAGAAATGAGGATGAGAATATTGGATGGAGGAACACTGTGCCTTGTGAACAAGCTTTTCACCGTAGTTCTGTTGTCTGGAAGTTTAAAAGATCCATTTACCAACATTTTCCTATTATTCCTTTATAACATTTGTGCGCCTATAAACACCGTGTAACACTTGTCGAAGGCTTTTGGCAAAGACTGAATAATACTACATTTGCAATTTTTAGTTATCCTCTTGAGCATCCAGGAGCTTGTCATAGTGGTCCAGTACCTGGGACAGGCAGGAGCGACTTGCTCTAAACCCGTGTTGCCCTGGGTTGTGTAACTGATGGGTATATAGGTGGTTGGCGATCTTGCTTCTTAGAACCCTTTGAAAGATTTTTGTGATATGGGATGTTGGTGCTATTTGTCTGTAGTTCTTTTCAACTGTTTTACTGCTACCTTTGTAGAGTGGGGCTATGTCTGTTGTTTTTAGTGAGTGTGTGATGACCCCTGTATCCAAGCTCCTTCTCCATAGAATACTGAAGGCACGTGACAGGGGGTTTTAGCAGTTCTTGATAAACATGGAGTTCCATGAGTCTGAGCCTGGGGCAGAGTCATTTATGGCCTTTACAAAGTCTTGTGGTGTTACGATAATATCAGAGATTTTTGAGATGACCAAATTTTAGTCTCGTTCATAAAGAATTCATTTGGATTGTCGACACTTAATCTGGTTAACGGCTCACTGAACACTGAGTCATATTGGGACTTTAGTGTCACTCATTTAGTATCATTCATTTAGTATCTCTTATTTAGTATCTCTAATAGCATCACTCACTTTGGTCTTCCTGTTGTTTCTGTTGCCCTTTATTTCTATCTTTTCTACTGCCTAGTTGCATTTAGTGGTAATGTGTTCTATCATTTCCTTTATTGTCTTTTCCTCTAGCTTGTTTACCCACTGCACCTGTGTGTGTGTGTGTGTGTGTGTGTGTGTGTGTGTGTGTGTGTGTGTGTGTGTGTGTGTGTGTGTGTGTGTGTGTGTGTGTGTGTGTGTGTGTGTGTGTGTGTGTGTGTGTGTGTGTGTGTGTGTGTGTGTGTGTGTGTGTGTTGTGTGTGTGTGTGTGTGTGTGTGGTGTGTGTGTGTGTGTGTGTGTGTGTGTGTGTGTGTGTGTGTGTGTGTGTGTGTGTGTGTGTGTGTGTGTGTTGTGTGTGTGTGTGTGTGTGTGTGTGTGTGTGTTTGTGTGTGTGTGTGTGTGTGTGTGTGTGTGTGTGTGGTGTGTGTGTGTGTGTGTGTGTGTGTGTGTGTGTGTGTGTGTGTGTGTGTGTGTGTGTGTGTGTGTGTGTGGTGTGTGTGTGTGTGTGTGTGTGTGTGTGTGTGTGTGTGTGTGTGTGTGTTTGTGTGTGTTTACTCACCTATTTGTGGTTGCAGGGGCCGAGACATAGCTCCTGGCCCCGCCTCTTCACTGATCGCTACTAGGTCCTCTCTCTACCTGCTCCATGAGCTTTATCAAACCTCGTCTTAAAACTATGTATAGTTCCTAGCTCCACTATGTCATTTTCCAGACTATTCCGCTTCCTGATGACTCTGTGACTGAAAAAATACTTCCTAACATCCCTCTGACTCATCTGAGTGTGTGTGTGTGTGTATTGTGCATGTGTACTCATCTATATTTGTGGTTGCAGTAGTTGAGTCACAGGTCCTGGCCCAGCCTCTACGTTTGTCGCTACTATGTCCACACTCTCCATGCTCTAATACTCATTTCGTACGTCTTCTTAGAGCTGTATTTGGATGCTGCCTCTGCTAATTCACTCTCCGGATTTTTCCACTTCTTGACAACTCTAAGGCTGAAAATATACTTCCTAAAATCCCTGTAATTCATCTTTTTTGAAACATTCTGGCATTGTTTTCCTTGTCACTTCCTCTCAGTATTTCATGAGTCATTATCGTATTCTCCTTATCTCTACTGTCCTCCAGTGTCGTCAGGTTGAGTTCCCTTAACATATATTCTGAGAATATACCCGTCAGATTCGGGACTAGTTATTTTGAAAACTTTTTCCCTTTTTCTAATTTCTTAATATGCTTGACCAGGTGTGGGTTCCACACTGGTGCTACATACTCCAATATGGGCCTGACGTACACGGTGTACATTCGCCAGATGCCCATACGCTTCAGCAGTTATTTGGCTGATGTGCTCAGTATGATACTCACCCCAAGAGCGTTTTCCTTAAAAGAGGTTTGCAGCCTTTGACCCCCGAGCGTGAATCCCGTCGGCGATCTACTTTATCCTTCCGCAAGCTTAATAACTTTGCTCTTTGTGGGGTTAAACTCTAGGAACTATTTGTTGAAACAGCTTGCAGCCTGTCCAGATCCATATGAAGTTTTTCCTTATCTTCATCCGCTTGCATTCTCCTCATTAGTTTACATCTTCTGCAAAGAGGGTGATCCCTGACTATACCTTCAGTCATGTCATTCACATATACAAGAAACAACACCAGCCTAAGACTGACCCTTCAGGAACCCTACTCAACACAGACGCCCATTCCAACACTTTGTCACGTACCATCAAACCTTGCTTCCTTCCTGTCAATTACACCCTTATCTGTTATAGTGCATTTCCTGTTAATCCTGCCTGCTCTAAAAGCTTTTGTACTGGTCTTTTGTCTTATTTCTGTTACCTATTCATAAAACTCAAACAAGTTTGTGAACATGGATTTTCTATCTCTGAAGCCGTGTTGGTTGTTTTGTATTAGCTCTCTCTTTTCTAGGTGCTCTACCACTCTTCTCGTGATCTTATCCAGGACTTTACATACGTTTCAGAGACACTGATCTATAATTTAATGCTGCATTTCTGTCTCTTTTCTTAAAAATTGTGACTATATTTATAGTACTCCACACCTCTGGTTTTTGCCCTATTTCTATAGATTTATTGAGGATTGTTGTAATCAGTACATCCTGTGCCTCTGCTGCGTTTCTCACGATCCACGGAGAGATGTTATCCTGGCCCATCGCCTTCTGGGTATTTAATTCATTTAGCAGTTTCTTCATCTCCTCCTCGATTGTGTGTAGTGTGTCGACCACTTGCTGATGTACACTGCCGCCTTGGTTTGCTGGAAGTCTCAACGATAATAATGGTTATAAATGGCCATAATTTTTAAAGGGGTGGACTGGTAAGCCAGCAGAAGGCCTCGGTCAGATGACCAAAGCTCCACAGGCGAGTCATCATCTGACTAAGACCCGCGTCAGGAAACACTTGTCCTGTTTCCTGACAAACCTTGCCTAACCTAACCTAACCTTAAATCTCGTGCTGAGCTCTTCACATACATCCTGGTAATCCTATATGAATACCTTACCTTCTGCCTAATTAAATCGACCTTGACTGTTGTTTCCCCCCAGATATGGCTATATTTCAACTTTGGGTCAGATTTTGGTTTTGATGCTATGTCATTTCTCAAATTGCCGCTGAGCCTCTCTCCATGTTCGTTTCTGGCTCTTCGGCTCATCTCCTTATTTCCCTGAATCATTTAGCTTCTTTACTTTTTCCGTGCTCTGTTACTTTTGGCATTCACCTCTCTACACCTCTGTGCAAATAATTGGCTCAATTTGATCTTCCCATTGTTTCTATTGGCCCTGGGTATGAACTTATCCTCTGCTACCCTACACTTTGTGCCCACATGTTTCAATATTTCTTTGACTCTCTTTCCCTCTAGTTCTGTTTACCACTGTACCTCATTCAGGAATTACCTTATGTCAGCGTAGTTCCCTCTATTAAAGTTTGGCTTCTACCCTCCTTCTCGTGCTGCTTCACTCTAAACAACGTATTCGAAACTCAGGACCAGGTGATTACTAATGCCGAAGGTGATTTTAATATCTTCTATGTCGGAACTACATAAAGTGAATACCAGTTCTATCCTCATTGGTTTATCCTCTTTCTTCTCTTCGGTTATGTCCTTAATTAACATGTTGGAGCATGAAGTTCCCTAAAACCACCTCAGGCATATTATCCCTTCACTGTCTTTGAGAATCGTGGCCTCAAACTGAAATAAACATTTCAACCTCACTTAGTTAAGGTCTTCAACGCCCCATATTTATGGGGCGTTTAGTAAAGATGTATTGTTTTTCTTTAACACTATAATTACTTAATTACACTAAACACTACATTACAAGGTTTACATTCCCGTTATAGTTCATTACCACAAAATAAAAAAAATATATATTTTTTTAACTTTCTTACAGACACAGGAGCGACAACCTCAAGTTGCTCATATTGACGTTGAGCCAACTCGTCTTCCTCCTGTGACAGGTACACAGATAGTGACGGGCGAGGACCCAGCTCTCAGGGAACTTTCTGTCTCACTTATTCCTGAAGATGACTTCGCAACCACCACCACCAAAAGAGAAAAGTCTAAGTAAGAGGAATTTTTACAGTCTTTACCCATCAATATGATGATTTTATGGTGGTTGAGGGTTCTTCAGTCTCCCTTTAACAAAGCAAAATATATTATCCCTTTAATTACCCAGACGTAATGTGGAAAATTATACAAATAAACTATTTTATAGTCTTTAGAATTTTCAGGTGGTCATTATGTTTCAAATCAAATATCATGAGGGAATTATAATTAACAAGTAAAGAATTTCCTGTTATACAGTCTGATGAAATAATGTGTTCACAGTAATGATCAGAATAACTTTGTGAGTAGAGCAGCGATGATTCACCCACATAAGTTGGAAGATTTTTTTTTTATTTTGGCAGATATTAAAATTATTGAAAGGAAAATTAGCTACGTTTTAGAGAAGAAAAATTCTGAAAAAATAATAGTTTGGGTGAGAAATCTGTCCACGCATGTTTTGTAAAGCACCATAGAGCGGTATGAACAAAATGTTTTATATTACTCTCTGATCGCGGGTTCAAACCCCACCTGTGGTATGGTTTGTTTGATATTAGATTCTACGTTTTTGATAGTGTAAAGCTGTAAGAGATAAGATTTGGTAAGATTTGGATCAAATTTTTAACCCAGAAATAACACAAAACAAGTCAGTGCCTTGTCAAGAATTGTCTTATTTCCACTGGGGTCCTATAATCTTGTCCCCCAGAGTATGAGGTAATGAATAGCTGTAAGAGCAAGTGTACGAGATCATCAACAGCTGTAAGAGCAAGTGTACGAGATCATCAACAGCTGTAAGAGCAAGTGTACGAGATCATCAACAGCTGTAAGAGCAAGTGTACGAGATCATCAACAGCTGTAAGAGCAAGTGTACGAGATCATCAACAGCTGTAAGAGCAAGTGTACGAGATCATCAACAGCTGTAAGAGCAAGTGTACGAGATCATCAACAGCTGTAAGAGCAAGTGTACGAGATCATAAACAGCTGTAGCAGCAAGCAAAAGTGCTAATATTTAGTAGTAAGAGCAAATGTGTGAGATAATGTACAGAAGTAAGAGCAAATGTGTGAGATAATGTACAGAAGTAAGAGCAAATGTGTGAGATAATGTACAGAAGTAAGAGCAAATGTGTGAGATAATGTACAGAAGTAAGAGCAAATGTGTGAGATAATGTACAGAAGTAAGAGCAAATGTATGAGATAATGTACAGAAGTAAGAGCAAATGTGTGAGATAATGTACAGAAGTAAGAGCAAATGCGTGAGATAATGTACAGAAGTAAGAGCAAATGTGTGAGATAATGTACAGAAGTAAGAGCAAATGTATGAGATAATGTACAGAAGTAAGAGCAAATGTGTGAGATAATGTACAGAAGTAAGAGCAAATGTGTGAGATAATGTACAGAAGTAAGAGCAAATGTGTGAGATAATGTACAGAAGTAAGAGCAAATGTGTGAGATAATGTACAGAAGTAGGAGCAAATGTGTGAGATAATGTACAGAAGTAAGAGCAAAAGTGTGAGATAATGTACAGAAGTAAGAGCAAATGTGTGAGATAATGTACAGAAGTAAGAGCAAATGTGTGAGATAATGTACAGAAGTAAGAGCAAATGTATGAGATAATGTACAGAAGTAAGAGCAAATGTGTGAGATAATGTACAGAAGTAAGAGCAAATGTGTGAGATAATGTACAGAAGTAAGAGCAAATGTGTGAGATAATGTACAGAAGTAAGAGCAAATGTGTGAGATAATGTACAGAAGTAAGAGCAAATGTGTGAGATAATGTACAGAAGTAAGAGCAAATGTATGAGATAATGTACAGAAATAAGAGCAAATGTATGAGATAATGTACAGAAGTAAGAGCAAATGTATGAGATAATGTACAGAAGTGCAAATGTGTGAGATAATGTACAGAAGTGCAAATGTGTGAGATAATGTACAGAAGTGCAAATGTGTGAGATAATGTACAGAAGTAAGAACAAATGTATGTAAGAGCAAATGTATGAGATAATGTATGAACAAGTGTATGGGATAAGGTACAGCAGTAAAAGAAAGTATGAAATAAAGTATAGGAACTAGAGCAAGAGTACGAGGAAAGTTATAACGATAAGATCATATACGTGAGATAAGAAAGTCCTCTGTCTCTAAGAAATTTGAAATCGAGAGCAGTCACAATTCCATCGCTGGAGCAATTAAAAAATATCTCTCTTAAGTAAGAGAAGAAATTTTTAATGATGTTTTGGTTCGTCGTTTAGTAGTCTCAAGTCACAACTGGTCCAAGACGGACCGAAACGTCGTCATAAGATTCTACTTCTAAATATGGTTGATATACAAATTTAAATTTATGTACTTTATGGGTAATGTGGAGAATCCATTGTAACCTCTGCTGAATGCTTTCCACGTGAGACTGAAGCAAGATTTAATTGTCTGCATTAAATGTTTATTAATCAGTCCTTTCAGAGTTAGAGTATTTGTGTAATTGAATTTCCAATTTACGCTTAGTCATAAAGAATAAGGAGAGCATGAAATTATGTAAATACAGTACGAGATAGATTATGGATGAACGGAATGACAGCCGAGTGTTATGTAAAGTGCTTGTAGTAGAGTACTTGTTGTAAAGTTCTTATAGTAAAGTGCTTGTAGTAAAGATCCACCATGCAATCGTGGATCTAGTTACAATACCTGCAGCACAGAGCAAGATAAAGTGATCGCAGCATTTCTCCGTTGGGCAGGTTTCTTCCGTCATCCCACAAGATGTAAAACAGGCCAATTTATTCAAAGTGGAACAATAAACGAATAGTGAAGTGAGCAGCAGCAGCAGGGTTAGTAAGGTCACTGGTCACTCAGGGACCAACTGTAAGATAACAGCAGTGCAGAATGTCTACCTAACATATTAACGTTTTTATGCAGGAAAAGATAGGCTTCAGGATTATCTAAACTGAAAGTTCTTCTATCCTCTTGGACTGAATTTTATGTTCGGATTAGCACAGTTTCCAGGCCTCTTCATCGTGTTTAGTCCACTTTTATGACCAGCTTGGTGTCCTTCCAAAGATATCCGGCGTTCTGTCTAGTTCCAACGTATTACGCAGGTATTGTCCGTGTTTTAAGTCCTACATGCTCGCTGGAATTCCTTTAACCTGATCTCTCTGTATATATATGCAACGGCAGATTTCTCCCACGGATTGATTTTTACAACTTCCACGTAGAATGATGTTCACTCTTGCATTGTCGGGGTTCTGACGGTTGTATTTTTGCCTGGTCAAGGTGTTGATAATGGTGGTAATATGTTGCTCTTGAGAAGGGTGATTGTGGTCTCTAGCAAGCATGACTCTAGCAAGCATGACTCTTATGTCTGCTTCTCTGATTTCAGTGAAGTGGAGATTTTGAATGTGCGGTTCCTGTAGTCACGGATGCACATGAGGAATAGAATGTTACACACTTCCTTCAGATATTCATTGCTGCAGATCCTGCACGAACGTCTGAAAATGCCAGCAAGATTACCTCCTCTGTTTTTTTTTTTTTTTTTTTTTTTTCGTGTTGTGGATAGAAGTCTAACATTTCATTCTTGTTGGTTGGTTTTCTATATATAACACCACAGGACTTTGAAAAAACAATGAGTGACATGCCCTTGCACTTTTCCCCAGGCACAAACTCGTGGAACTCCTTATTCATCAAGAATTGCAAGAAACCCCGTTCACGTCCCTCAGATATTCTGTAGAGAGGGAGCATGGACACGGGTCATCCCACAGTCATTAACAATAACTAGACCTGCTAGCCACAGTAAGATTCGTCCAACTAGGTATATTTCTACACCATAGGAAGGTTAGCATAGGCACCACTGTGACCACAAAAGCAAGTTTTTACAGACGAATCTCCAGCTAGCGTGGCCGTGACGAACTCTAGCTCAAGTCCCTTCAAAGCCGTCAACTTGCATTTATGGTCACAGTGGTGCCTATGCTAACCTTCCTATGGTGTAGAAATATACCTAGTTGGACGAATCTTATTGTGGCTAGCTGGTCCAGTGGCTAACGCTATGGTCTGGAGTTTTGAGACTCTGATCGCGGGTTCTATCCCCGCCCGTGGTATGGTTTGTTTGCAATCGTGTCATTACGATTTCGTGAGTCATGTTGACGGCTTTGAGGGGATTTGAGCTAGAGTTCGTCACGGCTTGACGTAATGGCTTGATAAAGCTCCTGGAGAGCGAAACGTTGCCACAATAAATGTCACATTAGTTGCACTTGTGTCCTTTTACTTTACATATTGTCGGTAATTCTACCAACTTTATTACAATGAATATCTTGATGAAGAGTGCAGCATTCTTAATGACATCTTCTGGACGCTCAGATTTACCGCATATATCATCCGGGACTGTAGGGATTGTACATACATAATTTTCACTTCACCGAAACCAAACAAAGCTGGACGAGACCTCCCGTAGCGTACAGATCAGGTTAAAAGTACATTAGTATGCCTGCAGGACTCACAATATGAATAAACCCGTGTGGTATATAGTGACCAGACTGCGCACATAACGTCTTGGAAGGACGTCCAGATCATAAAAGAAATGGCTTAAACAAGACGCAGATACCTGGAAGTTGCGCTAATCCAAACACAAAATACAATCCAAGAGAATCAACGAGCTTTCAGCTTTTCCAAACTAACTCAACTAATCTTACCTAAACAGGTCAACTGAGGAACTGATTTTTCTCTTACAGTGTTCCCATATCGCATTTTACCCCAGAGAGGGACTTCACTTACCTGGCCACCCTCCATACTATGCTTGAATATATCTGCTTGTTGTACATTCCCATGTATTGAGTGATGAACAGTGTTTACATGCAAAACGTATCAATGATCCTCTCGGCACTTGTGCCTTTTTCACCACTTGTTGACTCTACGCCATTTGTCTCAGTAATTTTTATTATTATTATTGCAGCAGCATCGAGACACCTATCTTGAACTGGGTATTGTATCAGAATGTATTGAATTAAAGAATTTTCTTTGAATAAAATTATATTTAATATGATAGTTATGGTCATCTGTGCTGGAGACTTGTTTCTTGAAAAATTCTTCCTTTTGACTGTTCACCACGTAAATGTTTTTTTTTATTTATGGTTGTAAAACAGAGTTCCTATGGTTACTAACAATTTCCAGTATCGTATAATAAAGGAAACACAGGAATACTTCATTGGACATAGTGGAATAAGCATTATATTTGAAACCTATGTGTTCACTGCTGGATGTAATTTGTTACAGCAATGTATTATTATAGGACCCCTGTTATACTAATATATCATTACAGGACCTCTGTTATAGCAATGTATCATTACAGGACCCCTGTTACAGCAATATATCATTACAGGACCTCTGTTATAGCAATGTATCATTACAGGACCCCTGTTACAGCAATGTATCATTACAGGACCCCTGTTACAGCAATGTATCATTACAGGACCCCTGTTACAGCAATGTATCATTACAGGACCCCTGTTACAGCAATATATCATTACAGGACCTCTGTTATAGCAATGTATCATTACAGGACCCCTGTTACAGCAATGTATCATTACAGGACCCCTGTTACAGCAATGTATCATTACAGGACCCCTGTTACAGCAATGTATCATTACAGGACCCCTGTTACAGCAATGTATCATTACAGGACCCCTGTTACAGCAATGTATCATTACAGGACCCCTGTTACAGCAATGTATCATTACAGGACCCCTGTTACAGCAATGTATCATTACAGGACCCCTGTTACAGCAATGTATCATTACAGGACCCCTGTTACAGCAATGTATCATTACAGGACCCCTGTTACAGCAATGTATCATTACAGGACCCCTGTTACAGCAATGTATCATTACAGGACCCCTGTTACAGCAATGTATCATTACAGGACCCCTGTTACAGCAATGTATCATTACAGGACCCCTGTTACAGCAATGTATCATTACAGGACCCCTGTTACAGCAATGTATCATTACAGGACCCCTGTTACAGCAATGTATCATTACAGGACCCCTGTTACAGCAATGTATCATTACAGGACCCCTGTTACAGCAATGTATCATTACAGGACCCCTGTTACAGCAATGTATCATTACAGGACCCCTGTTACAGCAATGTATCATTACAGGACCCCTGTTACAGCAATGTATCATTACAGGACCCCTGTTACAGCAATGTATCATTACAGGACCCCTGTTACAGCAATGTATCATTACAGGACCCCTGTTACAGCAATGTATCATTACAGGACCCCTGTTACAGCAATGTATCATTACAGGACCCCTGTTACAGCAATGTATCATTACAGGACCCCTGTTACAGCAATGTATCATTACAGGACCCCTGTTACAGCAATGTATCATTACAGGACCCCTGTTACAGCAATGTATCATTACAGGACCCCTGTTACAGCAATGTATCATTACAGGACCCCTGTTACAGCAATGTATCATTACAGAACCCCTGTTACAGCAATGTATCATTACAGGACCCCTGTTACAGCAATGTATCATTACAGGACCCCTGTTACAGCAATGTATCATTACAGGACCCCTGTTACAGCAATGTATCATTACAGGACCCCTGTTACAGCAATGTATCATTACAGGACCCCTGTTACAGCAATGTATCATTACAGGACCCCTGTTACAGCAATGTATCATTACAGGACCCCTGTTACAGCAATGTATCATTACAGGACCCCTGTTACAGCAATGTATCATTACAGGACCCTGTTACAGCAATGTATCATTACAGGACCCCTGTTACAGCAATGTATCATTACAGGACCCCTGTTACAGTAATGTATCATTACAGGACCCCTGTTACAGCAATGTATCATTACAGGACCCCTGTTACAGCAATGTATCATTACAGGACCCCTGTTACAGCAATGTATCATTACAGGACCCCTGTTACAGCAATGTATCATTACAGGACCCCTGTTACAGCAATGTATCATTACAGGACCCCTGTTACAGCAATGTATCATTACAGGACCCCTGTTACAGCAATGTATCATTACAGGACCCCTGTTACAGCAATGTATCATTACAGGACCCCTGTTACAGCAATGTATCATTACAGGACCCCTGTTACAGCAATGTATCATTACAGGACCCCTGTTACAGCAATGTATCATTACAGGACCCCTGTTACAGCAATGTATCATTACAGGACCCCTGTTACAGCAATGTATCATTACAGGACCCCTGTTATAACAATGTATCATTACAGGACCCCTGTTATAGAAATATGTCATTACAGGACCCTTGTTATATCAATGTATCATTACAGGACCACTGTTATACAACCTGAACCCGAAAGCGTCAGTGAGATAAGCTACATGGAAACCTCTACAATATCTGGATATCGTGAAAGCTTTGGCGGCTTTGACACGAGTCTTCAGGATCTTGAACGCTTAGAGATGCAGGTAAGCTTTCACTACACAAATAATGTTCATATTATATATAATTAGGAGGTAAAATTGAATAAAAATTCAAGTTATGAGACCAGAATCAGAAAACTTTAATTTGTTTTCCAGCATCATCGTGCAATCTCTATTTCTGGGAAGTGGGTCTACTTAACCACACCTTCAACTATTCTGCACTTGGGATATATAGGGAATATAACACATAAAATTGAAGTAAATGCAGTGAAATATAAAAATTAAATTTTTACCTAAAAAATACAAAAGAAAACTTATCACCTATTTTATTTAATGGATTTGAGAAACAACGAACTGAAAGAATTTACAACCACTTTATGATAAAATTATTGTTTTGCAGATAGGGTGTTTCAGGTTATATTCACTGTTTCGCTTTTGACTGCATAACGTAAATAAAAGTTCTGCCTCCTAAAGGGTAAATGACCTGCCTAATCTAGGGGCATTTATATATTCATATTATTTAAAATGTAAAAAGAAACCAAACTAGGGCCAGCATCTACCTTCATTCAAATTATGAAGCATAAATTAAATAGTCAATGTATTATGAGGAAGGGCACAAAACCTCACCTATATATATATATATATATATATATATATATATATATATATATATATATATATATATATATATATATATATATATATATACAAACAACTTTTGGTGGATAGATGGGCTGGTGAGAGTATAGGCAATGGGGTCGAAGATGTATGGGGTAGGTTTAAGAATGTAGTGTTAGAGTGTTCAGCAGAAGTTTGTGGTTACAGGAAAGTGAGTGTGAGAGGAAAGAACAGCAACTGGTGGAATGATGATGTAAATAGAGTAGTAAGGAAGACAAAGTTAGCATATGAGAGGTTTTTACAAAGTTGAAGTGATGCAAGGAGGGAAGAGTATGAGGAGAGAAAAAGAGAGATTAAGAGAGTGGTGAAGCAATGTAAAAAGAGAGCAAATGAGAGAGTGGGTGAGATGTTATCAACAAATTTTTTTCAAAATAAGAAAAAGTTTTGGAGTGAGATTAATAAGTTGAGGAAGCCTAGCGAACAAATGGATTTGACAGTTAAAAATAGAAGAGGAGAATTATTAAATGGAGAGTTAGAGGTTTCGGGAAGATGGAGGGAATATTTTGAGGAATTGTTAAATATTGATGAAGATAGGGAAGCTGTGATTTCGTGTATGGGGCAAGGAGGAATATCATCTTGTAAGAGTGAGGAAGAGCCAGTTGTGAGTGTGGGGGAAGTTCGTGAGGCAGTAGGTAGAATGAAAGGGGGTAAGGCAGTTCGGATTGATGGGATAAAAATAGAAATGTTAAAAGCAGGTGGGGATATAGTTTAGGAGTGGTTGATGCTATTATTTAATAAATATATGGAAGAGGATAAGGTACCTAGGGATTGGCAAAGAGAATGCATAGTCCCTTTGTATAAAGGCAAATGGGATAAAAGAGAGTGTAAAAATTATAGAGGAATAAGGCTTTTGAGTATACCTGGTAAAGTGTATGGTAGAGTTATTATTGAAAGAATTAAGAGTAAGACGAAGAGTAGGATAGCAGATGAACAAGGAGGCTTTAGGAAAGGTAGGGGGTGTGTGGACCAGGTGTTTACAGTGAAATATATAAGTGAACAATATTTAGATAAGGGTAAAGAGGTTCTTGTAGCATTTATGGATTTGGAAAAAGCATATGACAGGGTGGATAGTGGAACAATGTGGCAGATGTTGCAGGTGCATGGTATAGGAGGTAGGTTACTGAAAGCAGTGAAGACTTTTTACGAGGATAGACAGGTTCAGGTTAGAGTATGTAGGAGAGAGGGAGATTATTTCCCAGTAAAAGTAGGCATTAGACAAGGGTGTGTGATGTCACCGTTGTTGTTCAATATATTTAAAGATGGGGTTGTATGAGAAGTGAATGTGGAGGTCTTGGCAAGAGGTGTGGAGTTAAATGATAAAGAATCAAACGCAAAGTGGGAGTTATCACAGTTGCTCTTTCTTGATGACACTGAGCTTTTGGTAGATTCTGAAGAGAAGTTGCAGAGGTTGGTGGATGAATTTCTTAGGGAATGTAAAAGAAGAAAATTAAAAGTGAATATAGGAAAGAGTAAGGTGATGAGGAGAACTAAAAGATTAGGTGACGAAAGATTAGATATCACAATGGAGGGAGAGAGTATGGAGGAGGTGAATCTATTCAGATATTTAGGAGTGGACGTGTCAGCAGTTGTGTCTGTGAAGGATGAGGCGAATCATAGAATTGAGGAGGGCAAGATGGTGAGTGGTGCACTTAGGAGTCTGTGGAGACAAAGAACTTTGTCCGTGGAAGCAAAGAGGGGAATGTATGAGTATAGTTGTACAAACACCCTTGTAAGCATGTGAAGCATGTGTGATGAATGTTGCAACGAGGAGAAGGATGGAGGCAGTGGAAATGTCATGTCTGAGGGCAATGTGTGGTGTGAATACAATGCAGAGAATTCGTAGTTTACAAATTAGGAGAAAGTGTGG